TGGTGATGACCTCAGTCTCAACGCAGAAGCTTACATTAAGTGCCGTGATACCATGAGTTAAGAAGCTAACTGCCGGAAGACACTATGTCTGGCAACAGGATTCTGCACCATGTCACAAAAACAAATTAACCCAGTCATGACTGTCAGACAATTTCTGCGATCACATCACTCCTTACATCTGGTCACATAACTCTCCACACTACAACACCGTTGATTATTTTGTGTGGGACTCAGTTGAGCGAGAAACAGACAAAACTCCTTATAACACCAAAGATGAACTGAAGGCAAAGATTATGGCAGCATTCACCAACTTAAACAAGGAGAAGAGTTACATGAGATCGCGAAGTCGCCCGGAGGCCGTGGTTGAAGCCAATGGTGATTTTATTGAATAAATTTACTCTTTAGTATTTCAAGATATTTTTGTTTCATTTCGGTAAATATATCTCTTAAAATGAGATGCCTGAGTGATCTTTAATTTTTGAATAATTTAGACGACAATTTACCCATCGCACCTTCTACATATAATTTATGTTGAAGTGATCTTGTCGTAGAATATATATGTAAGATAAGACTACTTAAACGATTTTGGTATTTCTCGCCTCTTCCGACCGAACGAAACATCCGAAAAGAATGCTCAGAGATTGCGTTATATCCGAGAATCGATCAATAAATGTGTAACTTTAAATTTTAGTTATGATGTAAAATCTTTGTGTTAAGGGCATTGACAAAGAAGTTGAATATATTCAAAGCTAAATGTCTGCTTTCTAAAATAACTGTTTTTCTTCATCCTTAAGCCATTGGTTTATTACTCTTTAGTGGTTCAGCATATTCTGCGCAATTTGGGTAAATGTAGTGATTTTCTGAGGCCGGTGAGGATCGAACTAACTACTCAGTCGCAATTGTTCTTGCGAGACAAGCTTGCTAACCATTACACAGCCTTGACGTGCCCAATTTGGGTAAATATATCTGTTAAAAGGAAATGTCAGTGTTATTTTAATTTTTGCGTAATTTCGACGATAGTTTATCCATCGCACCCTTTACACACACACACACACACACACACACACACACACATATATATATATATATATATATATATATATATATATATATATATATATATATATATATATATATATATATATATATATATATATATATTAGAATAAAAGGATTTGACGTCTAAACTACCCTTGAATTTATCTCTCATATCCCCCCCACCTTTAGAGCTTCGTCCAGGTTGCCTAAATCTTTAATATTTTAACGGGCTAATTATTCCAAATTCTATTAAAATTTGTCACGGTTTACGCCATTTTTTTTCTTTTTTATAGGCAATAAAGCCATTAGGATGCAAGAGGTTACTGAGCCACTGAGTGTTAAAGAGAACGAGAAAAAAACTATTAAAGAGAGAGAACAAAAACAGAGCAAACCCCGCGTTTAATTTTCGAAAATCAAAGTTGATATTTCTAAAGAATTAATGGATTTTATTTCTTTTAATCATGTGACTGAGAAGCAAAAATCCAGGCGATAGTCCCGCGAGCGATAAGTATGATCGAAGAAACTGTTAACATAGAAGTTACGGTTAATCTAACCATTTCTAGTGTCCCAGACGTGATGAGACGCTATGGAATCCCTGCTTTGTGCATTTTTATGTAGACTATAAAATCTGGTATTTTAGTGTGGGATTCTGTTAATTTAAAGTATGAATCGCCTTCGTTACTATGTTTCTCATGGCTTTATTATGTTTTTGTATTTCTGGACTTATTTTGCCTTCATCGACTTTCTCTCATTGAATAGTAATCTAATTTGTTAAATTCTTATACATGATAATAATTCTAAACCTTTGATCGGGGAAGTTTATCTAAATCTAACAGAGTTTGCTGAATAGCACAGACATCATGTGAAAATGCACTATTCTGTTAAAACAGCACATTCCTGCTGACAGCTGATCATTTAAAATAATATTCAGTCAATCAAAGACGGCCACAGACGGGATTATAGATCCCTTGTAAATTTCACAATCCTTTCCTTTTCTGTATAGTATGTACTTCGCCAGGGCTACATACAGTTTTAAATTCAGAGTTTTCCTTCTCTTAGACTGGTTTCCAACCAAGGCTATAGAATAGCTACTAGAAATAAAAAGTACACAAATTTAAATATATAGGAAGCGTTTTAACAAAGTATAGAAAATATGGCACCGAAATCCGAAGTTGCATTGGGATAACGAAAGATGCCTTCGAAAAATTAATCAAAGTATTAAGAACGGAAAACCTTCGTTAGAAACAAAGAGTACTGACCTGTTATGCAATAAGATGCCTTCCAAAGACTAAGCAAAGTATTAAGAAACAAGAACATTTCGTTAGAAACTAAGAAGAGTACTGAACTGCTATGTAATATCGGTTTTTCTTTATGGCAGTGAATGCTGACCAACCTCCTCACAGATGAAGAAGAGACTTGAAGCAACAGGAATGTAGTCCTGCAGAAGAATGCTGAGAATATCATGGACTGAACACGTAGTTTTAGAGCAAATGGAAACAAAAGGGACACTTATACATAGCATCAGAAAGAGATAGGTGAAATTTCTAGGTCACATAATGAGGAAAGAGAGCTTGGAAAATTTGAAACTCACATGAAAGAAAAGAGGCACAGAGTTATGCAGTGAATAAACCACCAAACGAACGTGTGTAAACGTTTGGAAAAACAACAAAAAAAAACTTACAACGGGTAGACAACGTGGATCAAGGCAACAGAAGATGTCGATTAACATTACATTTAAATTTTTGAAGATTATAGTTATCAGGAAAGCAAGTAAGAGGAAGGGAATTCCACTGTCGGGAAGTGCGAGAGAAGAAGCTGTTGGAGTAGAAGAGGTGGTTAAATTTAACTGTTTCGGCAATAAAATGGGGTGGGACCGAGATGCCAACCTAGTAGCATGCTTAAATTCATGCAGTCGTGGCACCAGTGAAAATAGCTCGAATGTCATGAAAATATTCATAGAAAAGAGAAGCCAAAGTACATCGGTGAGTAAGTGAGTGGAGTCGAGACCCCAAGTCAGGACCGATCACATTGTATATCCGTCTTTGGATTTTGTTGAGAACCTCGTGATGAACAGCAGGGGCACCAGACTATATATGGTAACAGTATTAAGTGCATCGACAATTGGTAGATTTGTAGATGTGAAGGATGGAATCAAACGAGAAAAACCTTCTGGCACGACACGGAGAACCAGCTTTCCTAGCGGTAGATGCAGCTATTGATTCAATGTATTTGTTCCACCTCAGGTCAGTAGAGAACGTGAGACCAAGAAGGCGCATCGAGGCGCATCGAAGCGCAGCGTGGCGCAGCGTGGCGCTCTCGTGGAATTGAGCCTCAGCCATGCTGATAGGCGGCAAGGACGTTTCTCTATGGTGAGTAAATGACAGCAGTTTCATTTTGGATGTATTAAAATTCACAAGCCATTTCCTGCCCTAGTCAACCACAGATTGCAGGTCTTTTTCGAGACCAACGGCCAGGTTAACTTCGTCAGCAATGTCGGATTTACTATTGGTTGGTGCAAAAATAATGACGTAATAATGTCGTTTTTGACGTTAAAAAATACGTCAAAAAACGACATTATTACGTCATTATTTTTGCACCAACCTAATATTTAGACACGAGTAAATGGTACTGCCATCTGCGTAGATGCCGACTTGATGATGTCAGGAAAATCATTGATGAAGATCAGAAACAGTGTAGGAGCAAGGATAGAGCCTTGAGGAACACCAGCGTTCGTATGGAAGGAATTAAAAGACAACCCGTTTAAGACAACATTCATTTCACGGTTTGACATGAATGATTGAATTAAATCAAATAATCATCCTGTAATACTGTATCCTTGAAACTTATGTAGAAGGCAAGTATGCCAAACCATCTCCACGCCTTCGATATATCTACAGCAACAGCTCGAGCCATTATTTTCAAAATCTTGGTATATCTATTCAGTTATTGCTGTAAGCTCATCAACGGTAGACCGGGCAAAGCGGAAACGATATTGTTACTCAGTGATCAGATCGTGGGAGGTGTGATGCTTAACTATATCGACATAGATTAAAGCCTCGAAGACTATGCCGAAAAGTGGTAGGAGACTGATGGGACGGTAGTTAGATGGGCCAGAAGGGTCGCCAGAATTTTTAAAGTCCGGGACGACAAAGGTGGACTTCCAAAAGGCTGGGAAGCAAGAATCGGCGAGGCAATAGTTGTAGAGTCTGGAGAGAACTGGAGCTAGCTCAGTGACACATTTCTTTAGGACTACGGCTGGTATCCCGTCACAACCACTTGCTTTATGAGAGTCGAATTGAGAAACGGAGATATACACTCAATATAGCCTCAGTTCTCGGGGAAATTCAGGTGTGGATATCCCAGATGAGTCGTGTTTTGAGCTGGATAATTTCCACGCAAGCATTCAGCTTTATCAGCTAAGGATGTTAGGACTTCAAATTGATTGAATAGATGAGGGATTGAGGATTTCCTGTAGTTCAACACACTCTTGCAGAGCCGTCAATAGTCTTTAGTAGCAAACTTGAGAAATGCAATACGTTGTTTCATTCTATCAGCAAACAGTAATTTTGCTTCATTGAGGACACGCTCGCACTCATTAAGAGCAGAGACAAAGAGACGTCTGTTGCGATCAGACATGTCGCTCCGGTAAAAAGGTAAAAGGTTCCTTTGGGCTATAGCGGCAGAGCAAGCAGGTGAGAATCAAGGATATGAGCGCGATTTAACTTACTATTTTCTTGCAGGGATGAAAGCCTCGGCGCCAGATTTCACCTAGGAGGAGACCCCAGACACATATTTTTGTACAGGATGATTAAAAACCACATTCCAAGGGACGTTGCGAAGGACATCATGGAACGAGCCACAGTCTGCCCGTTGATAACAGAAAGATATTCTGTTAGTAGGAGGTTCATGACTAGAGAGGGAGTTGAAAGTGTGCATCTATGTGCGTGTGTGTGTTGGTGTGCATGTATGTGTGCGCTCGAAATCACACTATTTATTTACTTTTTTTTATTATTTTCTTCCGCCTCTCTATTTTCTTAATCTCTCATCCATGTCTGTTTCCCTTACTCTCACATCCTCTATCCATCACTCTTTTGCTTAGTCACATATTCCCCAATCTCCCACCCCCATCTTTCTTTGTTTTTCTTACTCTCCCGTCCCTCATCACACACACTCTCTCTCTCTCTCTCTCTCTCTCTCTCTCTCTTTAACTTTTCTATCTCCATCTCTCTTTTTCATGCAGCCCCATTGACCAGGCTCTCTTTTTTTCTAAACCATTCCTCATCTCTCGCTTGTTCTTATTCAACTATTCCTCATTGTCTCTATTTCTAACGCCCCCCTCTTACATCTCTCTCTCTCTCTCTCTCTTACTTACTGACTCATTACTCATTCTCTCTCTCGCTCTTTCTTACTTTTCGATTATCCTTTCTCTCTGTATTTCTTACTCTCCCATCCCCTTTCTCGCCTTTTTCTTACTCTCCCAACCCTATCATTTTTCTTTTTCTTACTCTCCCATTCCATCTCTCTCGTTCTTTTCACCCATTCCCTACACTCTTCCTCTTTTTCTTACTCTCTCATCCCCTAGATCTCACTTTTTCTTACTCTCCCAACCCCTATCATTTTTCTTTTTCTTACTCTCCCATCCCATCTCTCTCTTTCTTATTCACCCATACTCATTTTCGATCCCTCTTTTTCTTACTCATCCATTCCTCACCATCTTTCTTTTTATTCTTCTCTCATCTCCTGGCTCTCCATCTTTATCTTCCCCATTTCCCACTCTCTATTTGTCTGAATTCATTTAATTCGTTTTTTTATGAAACTCAATTTATGTTTATATTTTCCTCTAAAATATGAATTCTTTTGTATTTGCCTTTCTATTCTTTTTTTTTTAATTTTCCTATTTGGAGTATGTGATTTCATCTCTCTCTCTCTCTCTCTCTCTCTCTCTCTCTCTCTCTCTCTCTCTGTGTGTGTGTGTGTGTGTGTATTGAACTCCCTCCCTCTCTTTTCACTTAAAAGGGCCACGGTCTCTTCTCCACAAGCTCTTTGAGTTTCATTTCATCGATCACTATTTCGCTACAGCCTCCATTCATATCTTTCGTTTGATTCCCCGTAGTAGGTTAAGAGGAATCTATATATCTATCCATTTATGAAAACATGCATATACACGCATCTGCACACACACACACACTTTTTAATATCATATATATATATATATATATATATATATATATATATATATATATATATATATAATAAATTCAAACACAAACGCACACATACACATATAATATATATATATGTGTGTGTGTGTGTGTGTGTTTTATTCCTGTCCTTACCCTTCATCCCATTCTTACCCGGCAATACCATTCATCAAAGAAAACCAAAGCCAGACTGTTGACGTCAACGCCGATAAACAAAGTCTCTACTAACCAACGCCACACACCCTTCACTTTCCAGCATTTCCCGATTTTCCATAAGACTTGTTTATTGATTCTTTCGTTCACGAATGATTTCAATGCATTTGCTGTTTTCTCACAATTAACATGAGATTTGCTCTGAGCTGATTCGCTATTTATACACACACACACATCAAAAGTGAAATCAAACGCCATAACCAGAGATCAATGTCAAAAACTGGAATCAAATAAGCCTTTATGTCTACTTGTCGCTCCTATGGCTAGATGGTCAGAAATAAGAACATGCATTCAAGTCGTCTCTGCTTTCATTTCAATCTTATGTTTCTTTTTTTTTAACGGAATTGAACAGAACGTATCGCGTCTTCTTCACAGCAGGGGAAGTCTCTAAAGTTTCAGCAGTGACCAAAGCAATGCTAATCGCACGTCTCACATAGACTCTTAGAAATCAGAACGGAAGATTTTACACTAGCCGAAAAAATCTGTCAGTATAATTGTTCATTTAAAGAGCTTGTGGGTCCTACGTAATGCTGCCTGATGGCTAGTCCTTATACACGATATTTCAACTGGTACAAGCGTTCGTAAGTTCGTCTATCGTCCGGTTCACATATCTCCCCAGAGGTTTATCCCGTGTTTCCGGTTTAAGATTGGGTTTCCGGTTCATTCTAATGTCTTCTAGTTCTATTTCACTCCCTGTAGGCACTTGCGTCTTAGTGGCATTATTGCCTTGCTTAGGGTAAATCCATTAATAAATAAATATTTCGACTGTTGCAGACGACTCTGTAAACGCCATGTTGTAACCTAGAAAGGCTTACTGAATGAGGAATAACCAAAACTGTGGTTGAAAATGAAATTGTAATCTTTATAACATCAACAAAATACAATACTCGCCAGCGGCGTGAAGTAGGTAAACCACTGCTAGTGGTGCACTACTTAGACAGGATATTAACCCCAATTACAATGGTGTCCAACGAATTTATGAGGATTGGAACATACACATTAGTGTTCATAGGTACGGTATATAACACAGCCATATCAGGTTAAAACACTGATTCCCGAACGATAACCGAAGTCAAGCAACGTCGAGCTTGGTCAGTACCTAGAACGGTGACTGCATGGAAATATCAGGTTCTGTAATGCTGGAAGTGCGGGTGGCGTGAGGGATAACGGCTCTGATTGGGATATCGGAAAGGTTTGTTATATTCATTTGCGAGACATTACTCTTGGTAGAGGTATTAATCTACCTTAATAATACATGTGTTAATTAGTAGGACTTATATCAGTAAAACATTATTATCCCGTAAAAATTCTGAAAAATCTAAAAATGTTTTCTAGCTTTAAATAATCTGCCAGAGGTTGATAAACCGTCAAAAATAAAAAAAAAATACAATCATTTAGAGGTTCGTTAAGTGCAGGACAGATTTTATGCAGTATCTGTCTATATTTCTGAGATGAGGTATTATGTACATTGTTCGAACTATCATCCTCATCTTCTTTGCCATATTTATTACAATGTTTCGGTCGTAGTACGCTCGAGCCTTCTTCAACTCGTTGGAATGTCGAACTGAACCCTTTATTTCGCTCGCTGGTGTAGACTGTTCTAATTCCACGTGCCATGTTCAATGGATGTCAGTTATCAGTTATCTGCTGTTAATTCCCCTCTCCAAGTTCTCCACCGCCTTAACCAGGTATTGAACTCACAATACTTTGGGTCCTGTCACTGGATCTAACTAACGCCTTTATCCACTGTGCCATGTGTCCCTGCGGACATCCATACTGGGTTCAGTTCGGCATTCCAACCACCTGAAGAAGGCCGAGCGTACAACGGCTGAAACCTTATATGGCAACAGTGATAAGGATGATAGTCCGAACAATGTAAATAGGTTTTATACAGTATATTCCGAGTGGTGCAAACTAATTTTTTTATGTTATATTTCGTCTAGTCACTGTACGTCATATTTCGTCTGATACAGTCCAGCCTCTGTATATCATTTCGATTGGTGCAATCCACACTTTATACGTCATATTTCGATTGGTGAAGTCCAGCCTTTAGACATCATATTTCAACCTCTATACGCAACAATGTCCAGACTCTATATGCAACAATTCGATCGGCGAAATCCAGCCTCTTTGCATAATATTTCTGTTGGTGCAATGCAGCCCTCTGGAATATTTTCAACTGGTGTTAGCTTTCATATTTTATATTTTGTCTCATCCAGTCTAGTCTTAATACGCCACATTTTGCTTGTTTCTGTCCAGCCTTTATGCATAATATTTATATTTGTACTATACACCCTTTATATTTAATATTTCCAGTGAAGCAATCCAGTCTTAATACGTAATATTTCGATTGGGGCAAACAGGTTTTTATAAATAGTACTTCGATTTGTTCAATCCATCATTTATACGTCATATCTCGACAAGTGCAAGCACAGCTTAATAAATTATGTACCGACTGGTGCAGGCTAGCCTTTAAATGTCATGGTGAGCTGATAAGCATTGCCTTTAATATGGCACAAGGCCAAAAGTATGAGTCACCCACCGATGAGATCGAACTCACTATCAGTCAAAATTGATCAAGCGAGACAAGCTTGCTGATAAATACACCAAATCAAAGTGCCCAAATGATTTTGTAAGCGTGTGGCACAAGGCCGAAAGTGTGGAGCAGCTAGTGAGGATCGAACTCTCTATTCGGTCGTAATTGATCTAGCGAGGCAAGCTTGTTAACCATTACACTACATAGAAACGCCGGATGGATTTTCTAGACGTAGCCTATATGTGGCACAAGGCTGATAGCGTGGAGCACCCAGGAAAGATCGAAGTCACTACACAGTTGTAATTGATCTAGCAAGACAAGCTTGTTAACCATTACAAGAAAACAAAGCATAGCTTAAATGTGGCTCAAGATCGAATGTATGATTCCCCCGTTGAGGATCGAACACTCTACACCGTACTAATTTATCTACGGCGCTTCTACGTAGTGTAACGGTTAAGGGATTTCCTCGGTGTGGCTTAGATGAGGCCAATAGCGTGGAGCACACAGTGAAGATCGAACTCACTACTCAGTCGTAATTGATCTATCAAGACAAGCTTGTTGACCATTACAACACATTAAAGTTCACATGTTTTGGCCACTAAGCATAGCTTAAATGTGGCACAAGGTCGAAGGTATAGGGCATCCAGCGGGGATCGAACTCTTTACTCCGTCCCGATTGACCTGACGAAACAAGCTTGTTAACCATTACACTACGTAAAAGCGCCGGAGGGATTTTCTAGGCGTGGCTTAGATGTGACACAAAGCCATAGTGTGAAGCACTCAGTGAGGATCGCGTAATTGATCGAGTAAGACAAGCTTGTTAATCATTACACCATGTCGAAGTGTCCAAACATGTCTTTTCAGATAAAACCAAGCCTTTATAAGTAGTTTCGATTTCTGTTGTTATTATGCATATATCCACTAGTTCAATCCACTGTCTTCTAGGTTTTACTTCAACTGGAGCAAGCCAACGTTTTTTGTTTTTTTGCATTTTTTCTTTTGTTTTTTTTTGTTTTTTTGTTAATCGTTTCACCTCAGTCATGGTGATAATGCCACTAGAAGATTGAGAATATGAAGGATTGAGGAAAGGACAAAAAAAGAAACACGGCCCAAGAAGAGAGAATGTAGCGATTGACTGCATTTAAATTTTGAAGATTGTAGTTATCAGGGAAGCAAGAAATCTGAATGGAGTTTCAAAGGATGGAAGTACCAAAAAAATGTTACAGTAGAAGCGGCGGTTGTTAGTTCAACAATAAAACTGTGAAACATAGTTGCCAAACTAGTTGCAGTGTGGTCGGAGTACAAGGGAAAAAAAGCTCATCGGAAGAGTTAATATGGAAATATTTTTAGTAAAGAGGAGTGCCGCGTCATGTCGGTGAGAATTTGGCTGAAGTCAAGACGCCAAGTCAGGATCGATTATATTACAGCGACTATTTTGGATTTTGACCATATATGGTAAGAGAATTTTTTTTTTCTTTTTAGTTATGTGCCACTTAACTTTCTACAATGTTTTTTTTTGTTTCTAAAATACTTCATGTCTCAAGAAATGATGTGTTTGGAGTTCGGCACAAATGTCAAAAATGTAAATAGTGCAAAATCCTTAACGCCATGGGAAGGTAAAATGCATAACATGACCATCAGCTGAAATTCAAATATATAATTGCTTCTACAGGCGCTTCTCACTGAAGATTTGGTTTTCAAGCTAGTCCCACACACCACTTCCAACTTCAGGAGTATAATCTTCACATGGTACCCCACACTTTCATTCTTGTACTAGTGGTTAGTGAATATTGATGAAACCGTTGGTTTTCCATAAACAAAGCAAATCAAAACGTTTGGTTTGGTTTGA